GGTCAAACTCTGCTGCCAGTGATCCTGCTGAAATGCCGTGGTTTTATTGTTGTGCCCTAATTTTGTAGTGAAGGAATGAAACTTGAACCAAAGGAGAAGGAACCTTGTTTAAGCACAGAGATAAACCTGTAATCTCAGCTGACATTCACAGATCATCTACCATTTAGCTCCTCAATAAATTAACGAAACCTCTCCACAGCTGGATAGCATCAATTCTCAAGTGTTCAATGTTATTTTTCCGGCCACTCAGTCCTACTTTGCACTTGCAAACCCCCAGAAAAGAGGCTTGCAGGATCCTGTCTCTTCTCACATTCCCTCCTCAAACTTAAGAGGCTTTAAAAACTAATAATAATCTTGGAGAGCAGCAAAAATAGCCTCCCTTTTGAAGACACATTGTGTTTTATCAGGTCTCAGGACACCACACACAATTTGGAGATAGCAGGATGGAGCCTCTATCCTTAAATAATCCCACTTGGCACAAGGTTGAGGAAGCAGGGAGCACTCTGTGCTGGAGGGAGGAGTCCCTCCCACCAAATAACAGGGATGTGAATCCAATAATATTTTTTAATATGACTGTTTGATATCTTTTAGAAAGGTCAGCAGAAAGACAGAAGTATTTCCTTTCCTTTCTAAATACATCCTTTATCCCACAGGCCCCTTCCCCACAGCAGGAGTAACCAGGTAGAGTGTTACAGACACTGTGGAATAAATGAGTCTTTAATGAATTTTGTTCATATTTGGAGTAAAAATAGTTTGTTTTTTCTAAAGAGAGACAGTGGGCACTTGGGTTCTAACCAAGCACTGCAGCCTTGCTGTGAGTTATGAGTGTGACACATGGACTGAGCACTGGGCCAAAGAAACTATTCCCCCAAAAAGGGCCTTAAGATGAGGGAGGGCAAAGTTAGATGGGATATTGGGAAGGAATTGTTGGCTGTGAGGGTGGGAAGGCCCTGGCACAGGTTGCCCAGAGAAGCTGTGGCTGCCCCTGGATCCCTGGAAGTGTCCAAGGCCGGACTGGATGGGGCTTGGAGCAGCCTGGGCTGGTGGAGGGTGTCCCTGCCCACGGCAGGGGGTGGATCTGGATGGGTTTTAAGGTCCCTTCCAGGCCAAACCATTCCAGAATTCTCTGAAAAATGAGGATGGCAGTAATAAAGGAAATGGAAAAAGACACTACTGAGTGCAAACTTGTATATGACAAAGGGTACAAATCTTGGAAGTACCTTTTTCTTTAATTTTTTTTTTGTTTGTTTGTTTTTGTTTTTGTTTTTTTTTCCCACAGTTACGTGTATTTGGCTCAAATGAATTCCCACAAAATGCCAAAGCCATCCACTGTGGAAGAGCCTGGATCTCAGCCTGGATGAGCTCCTGCTCCCACAGCCCATTCAGCAACACTTGAGGATATTCACTCCATATTTCATGTCAGATATTAAATCCCATATTTCAAACATGTACTAGTTACTCTTCTCGCATTACCCTGGTTTTAAGCACTGTGCTTTCCCCAAATTCAAGATTTAGGTGATGGGAGATGTTCCAAGTGCCTTGATCCCTCATGCCAGGCACCTGCTGAACATCTGCATTTGTGTCTCTCACTAAAGCCCCTCCTTGCTGGATTTACTGTGCCAGGCAGAGAAGGTGACCCTCTCTTACTCAGTATTGCTCTTGGAGCAGCAGCCACTCATTTCTTACCTTCCAACCTGCAAATTCACGAGCTAAAACAAAGAAAAGCTGCAGCAAATCAATCAGTGCCTGGTGGTGGTGCCTGTTTTGACCTCAGCAGTCACACACACGTAACTAGGGGGTGCCTACAACCTGTTTACACTCAGAGAATGCAGATCAGGCACCAACTGCTGGGGTTCTCCTGCACCCAGCAGGGAAAGAGCTGCGACTGCTTCATTTCATGCAAGTAATTAGCCTGCATTTGCCCTCAGGCTGCTGGGAAGTTGCTGCAGTGCCTTTTATCTGGGCAAAAATTTGGGGTATTTTAGTCTCAGCTCTAATTATCAAACAAGCACAGTCTAGATGGGTTTTTCTCCTAGTTAGAGGCTGCTCACCCGAGCTGCAGAAGCCTCAGGTGTTTAAGAGCAGAGGAGACACAGAGGCTTTGAAGTTTTTCAGGCAGCTGGGCTTAAAAGGGCTGCAAGTCTGGCTCAGCTCCTTTGAGCACACGGTGAGGCTCATTATTGAACAGTGTTCTCAGTGAGGGCAAGTGTGTCATCATTGCCAGACTCCCAGGAACACCCCAGTGCTGCCTCACTCCAGGAGATGCTGCAGCACCTGCTTTGGCGTCAATTAAAGCTGCGCATTCCCCAGAAAATAAAAGCCATTCCGGTGCCTTTGAACCCAAATCTTCCCACTGCCATGTCTCACACGTGGGCCACAGACACCCACAAATATTCCTTGCAAGAAACATTAGCAAACCCAGCTCCTAAGTGTGTTCAGAACACAGTTTTTGCTTTTAGTCTCAGCCTCCACGCTGGAATCTTTCCCAGCAGAAGCCGAACCCAGCACTTTCCAAAGAGAGCAGCATCTTCCCCACAGTTTAAACTCGTAAGTGAGGGTTTTGTTTCTCTTCTAGGAGTCCTTCCCTCTGCATTCAAATTCGTTCTTTAAAATGCTACTGTTGTTGGGAAGGAAACAGTATTATCACAGAGCTGACAGTCTTACAATCATGAAAAAGCTGCCATAATGGCAGAACCTTAATTGACAGATTATCTCTGCCATAAAACACATGCAAGTTTCCCCTTCACTTAAAGAGCAACTGTGAGCAATAAACCCCCATCAGCTCTAAACTCATTCCTTCCATCTCATAAGCCTCTCCAAGTCCTCCCAATTTAACACTTCCACACACATCAGGGAGGCCTTTTGGATTTTATATGTAACTCTGAATATTTAAACTGTCCCACGTCCCTCTCTCTCATTACAGAAAAGAGGTTCTCAAAACTGCTCAAGTCTAGACAGAAAAGATGCTTTTCCTAAAACAAACATCAACAGGAAGTTTGTTATCTGGCCATTTCTAGGGTCTAAAACCAATAAGAAAGTTAAAATGACTTGCATTTCTCAGTGGTGTAATACCATAAATACACTGCAGTGCATTGCACATTCTTTTGCTTTGCTTTCAAGTGTCATAAAGTTTAAAAATTATTCAAGTAGAGACCCTGGTGCCAGATTTTGGGAAGCTTCAGATATCCTGGGGTATGTTATTTCCCAGTTCACACGTCTAAAGCCACAGCCAGACATTCAGCAGCTGCAGCTTCAACACTGCTGAGAAAAATAAGAAAAGAAAATATAAAATATAATAATAAAAAACCCCAAACCAGTTGTGGCCAACACTTGGTGTTTCCTGGAAATCTGGCTGATTTCCACGTGGTGTTCCTATGGAATCAAGATGCTGACCTGCTTTAGAAGCACCGAGGGGGCTGCAAAAAGGCCAAGCACAAACCTCTTCTTGCGGGAATCATTCCCAAACTGCCTCTTCTGCCTGGAACTGGAACTGCTGCTGCTCTGGGACCTCTTCCGTGCCTGAACTTCCTACTCCTGTTTGCCAACAGCAGCTCAGCTCATTCATTCACCGCTCCATTCACCATCACATGGCAGTTTATCAAGGCCTGGGCTATCAGGAATATCCTTGTACTCTAACTCCTGGCTCCCCTTCCACGCAATCACGGCGTCGTTTGTTTGCCAACAACGCGCTGTTACCTACCCTTGATCTCGCTGTGCCATTCCACAATCCCCACACACAGCTCACAGCAGCCAAGTGCAAAGCCCTCACCTTCGAATCATCATCTCTGGCTCTTTGCATCCCTCCATATGATCCACTAAAAAACTCCCTCCAAGCGGGTCAACAGCCGGTGAAATCCCATTTCGGGGCTTGACCTGATAGTGGTGTCCAAGATTAAAAGCTCAGCAGGGGTTATGTAAGAGCTGGTTAACAGGCACGTCCCAAACCCCAGTGTGCTGCATCCACGTGCAACCCACACTCCACAGCTTTGATTTGGGACGAGCCACCCCCAAGTGGGAGAGGTTTGTAGTGAGTATCCAAGCTGGAAGTGGAGCGTGGCAACAGCTCCATAAAAACCCCCCTAAGCTGATTTTATGGGAAGCACAGAACGCTCCCCCTCCTCTTGGTCAAGGAAAGCAAGGCCTGGTTATGAAAATGCTCTTTTAAAAGCACCTTCTTCCTTTGTCCTCAACAATGAGGCAAGGACTTTGTGGCTCACACAGCACAAGTTCAACGTACAGCATGTTCCCCACACTGCCTGATAAGCTGCTGCACCGAGCTGGCACCTCAAGATACAATAATTCTGGCTGTGACAGTTGGGAAGAGTTTGGAAACCGATACGTGAACGTTTGGAGAGGGATCTTGCACGAAGACAAGAGCCTCCATCTTCACTTGCCATCTGGGAAAGTGCACATTCCCAGCCTGACGTGGGATGTTTTTACCTGGAGAGCCTGGAAAGGGAAAATTCTCAGCAGACTCCTCAGAAGGGACGATCTCGTTTGCAGGATGCACTGAGGCACATCAACCTGAACAGCAACGAGACACAACTTTCCTGGCAGGGAAAAACACCCTCATCTTTCCAGCCTTTAAGAAGTGGATTTTCAAAGGTATCTCTGGCTCTTGTCAGTCTCCAAAACACCCCAAACTTTCATGTCTGCAAGTGCTTCATTTCAGATTTGCTCTGGTTGAGGACAAACAACCAGAGCAGAACCCACAGCAAGCGATAAACGAGAATGACCACATTTAATTGACAGAGAACAAGAATCTCCACGGTAAACTCCATTTCTACTGCCCAGCAAACAATTATATCAATTATCTCCCCCCAGAAATCACAATGTACTGGTGTTTGATGCTCACAAGCACAGACTCAGAGCAGTTCTGGTGCAGAGGACGGTCAGGAAGGCACAGACAAGTGGAAGGGTCTCACCTAACGTGGCAGCCGCTGCCAGTCCGGCCGCGTACGGATCCGTCCCCGGGGGAGCCGCGCTGATGATGTAGGGATTGGGAACAAAGGCAGCAGGAGCTAAACCTGCTGAAAACATACCTGTCAGTGAAAACAAACTTAACTGGGACTGCAGCCCTACCACAGCACCGCTGGCCACCCGCCTGGGGAACACAAAAACTCGGGTTGGTTTAGCAGTTTGAAGCTTTTTAGGGGTGGTTTTCTATCGGGAGCGAGAAAGCGCTGAGTGTTAATGGAGTTTACATATAGGAAACCCAATTCCAAGGGTGGAATGCTCCTTGAGGAAAGCTCAAGTGGTAAAACGCTTTATATAAAACAGCTCAGGTACCTCTGCAGGGCTGACAGACCCTTACTGTTCAGGTGAATGGACAGTAACACGAGCTAAGTGCTTGTTACTGCTCTGCATTTCCTACAGCGAGGAGGTCGGGACCCAAACTACCCTGCTTTGAGTTCCATGCCCACTACAGGACACCAGTCCTCCAACTGGTTAATTTGGAAAGAGTTCAGGGGTGTACAGGAATGGTTTAATCATTAGAGAAATCCCAGGTGGGCGGGAGAGGGGTGGGGAGGGGAGGAAAGGTGAAGGGGAGGAAGTGAAAAAGCCAAATAATTCTAATTCAGGTCTATCCCTGAACTCCACTGAGCACACAAGGGCACTGCACAGAGCTCGGAGAGTCCCAACACATTTACAGTGGGATTCTGGGTTGGAAAAATTTCATTTAAAGTGTTTAATGTGCTAAAAATGTTTAACCCTGAGACAGTTCAACCCTTATCATCCAGGAGTAGAACTTCTACAGTTCTCTCCGTTTTCTATGCACAGGACTAAGGGCTTTCTCCCCAGTTAATCTGTACTCTTAATAATATGAACCATGTGCTTGCATGAATTTTATCCTTATGTTATAAAGGCAGATCCAGAGGCAGCACATCCAGATTTATATCCAACTGGGCATTTTCCCCTCTACTTTATTGTGCTGCTTCCCCTGGTTTATACCTCACTCAGAGCAAGCAAGGACTTCCAAAGGCTCTCCTGACCGAGCAGCACTCTCAGAAGGGTGAGAGTGTC